TGGTGACAATTGATCGACTTACAAAATGTGCCCATTTTCTGCCAGTTAAGACAACTTACACGGCTGAAGATTATGCGAAATTGTATATCAAGGAGATTGTTAGGCTTCATGGTATGCCAGTATCTATTATATCAGACCGAGGAGCTCAATTTACGGCTAACTTTTGGAGGTCTTTTCAGAAGGGTTTAGGCACACAAGTGAATCTCAGCACTGCATTTCATCCGCGGACTGATGGACAGGCTGACGTACCATTCAGACACTGGAAGATATGCTACGAGCATGTGTTCTAGATTTTAAGGGGAATTGGGATGACCATCTTCCACTCATAGAATTCGCCTACAATAATAGCTACCATTCCAGTATTAAAATGGCCTCATATGAGGCACTATACGGGAGGAGATGTAGATCACCAGTTGGATGGTTTGAAGTCGGTGAAACAGAATTATATGGGCCAGATTTGATTCACCAAGCCATTGAGAAGGTGAAAGTGATACAGGAGCGATTGAGGATGGCACAAAGCAGGAAAAAGTCTTATTCTGATGTCCGACGTAGTGATCTGGAGTTTGAGGTTGGTGATTGGGTTTTCTTGAGGATCTTGCCGATGAAGGGTGTTATGCGTTTTGGGAAGAAGGGTAAGCTGAGTCCATGGTATATCGGTCCGTACAAAATTCTTCGACGAAATGGACAGGTTTCTTATGAGTTAGAATTGCCATCCGAATTGGAATTTGTCCATCCGGTATTCCATGTATCTATGTTGAGGAAATGTATTGGAGACCTTTCTCGAGTTGTCCCTATCAAAGATGTACAAGTTACAGAGGATCTATCATATGAAGAAGTGCCAGTGGCTATATTAGATCGACAAGTCCGCAAGCTGAGAACAAAAGATGTAGCTTCCGTCAAAGTATTGTGGAGGAACAAGAATATGGAAGAAATGACATGGGAAGCAGAAGAGGAGATGAAGTCTAAATACCCTTACCTGTTCCAGCATGAAGATAATGAGGATGCTAGGGGAACGCAGGATGCATTAGAAGGTGGAACAGCTCTATGAGGTAAGCAATAGCTTGAGAATACTCTTCCTTAATACAAAATGGTGATACGCAGATAATGTACATGTCCATAATGATTTGCATACCCTTGTAAGGACATACGTTGAGTTAACTGCTTGCAAGTTCGTCCTCTATTTATGGGAGAAACTCGGCCGGAATCCATGATGATTTAAATTGCCCATGAACCCTTACATTCGAGGACGAATGTTCCTAAGGGGGGGAGGGTGTTACAACCCATATCCACACGCGTTAGTTCATTCCATATGTTAGTTAACATAAATCCAAGAAGGAATTATCTTTGAGATGATAAGAAGTTAATCATATTGGTCTTAAGTGATACACGGGTGTATAAGGGTGATTAACAAGTATTAGAAGTTAAACGAATCAAGGATGTTGTAACTCGTATTTTCGGGTAAACCTAGAGGTGCTTAATACACTCAAGAGGTCATGTTTAAAGGTATTTGAATCATATAATATCCGTATCATAAGTCTTGAAGTCAAACGAGTTATGAAACAAAAGTCGACGAAAGTTGTCGCAACTTAGGTTCATAATTTTACTTAAACATTAGGTCAAATGTTTCTAAGCTTTTCTCCCAATTTACAAGGAATTACGGGGTGATATACCCACCAAATTAAAGATCTATGAGTCTAGTTTCTAACTCATTTAACCGTTCATCGATATGACATCGGAACAGAGAGATATAGGCATTTTTGCAAAACTGCACAAGCTGCTAGGTGACAAGTAGGTGTGTCACCTACTTGGTTAAATGATAGCCCAAAAATAGGAAATTTCGGGTCGGCCAAAGAGCCAATTTAAAGGGCTATCTCCTGAAATATAACCCTCATTATATATCACAAATAACCAGACCTAAACCCCTGCAAACTTCCTCCCAAAAATTATCCACAAACCCTAATCGATTTTCCCTCTCTTTCAAGTTCTAATTGGGGGTAAAACCTAGAGTTTGAAGAACCAAGGGAAGGGCTGAGTTATCCAACAAGTAAGGTGAGTTTACATCTCTCTTTCAAACATTTATTCTCCTGTGAATTCATGGTAATTCGTTCTATACATGTAAGAACTCACGGGATGGTGATCGGAAGCCGTGAGTTCGAGTTATTCACTTGTAGCGGACTGTTTTGTGGACTGTTTTGTGTTGCTGTTGGGCTGCGTGTTTTACTACTGTATTGTGGAGTTTTGGAGGAGGAAGGGTGTGGAGAAACACCATATATATGTAGGGTTGTGGGCTGGTAGTTCTTCGTAACATTTCCGGGTCGTTTGACACGACTACGGTGGTCGTCGTATGTATGAAGTGATTAGGTTGTGCGTGGACTGTTTTGGGAGGCTCAATATGATTATTATTGATGTTGTTTGGGCTGTTTGGTGATTGTTTGAAATTATTTGAAGTCATATATATAGGGGAGGTGTTGTCCGTTTTATCGTAAAATAGGTTGTGGTCGATACATAATAGTTATGACGCTTGAATGATAACTATAGTATTGTTTCTCTTATTGTAGACTAAGGAGTCGTGAAAATTGCATAGCTTGAGATTGGGGCAGTATATACAAGGTATGTGAGGCTATCCCTTTCCTTCTTTTGCACGACTCCGATTGTACATAATGTAATGAACGAGCTTCCAAAGATACTCTACTCTTAGAAGCTAGCAGTACTTACATTGTTTCCCCTCTTATGGAACGATTGATGTTGATGTTGCTTCTCTTATTCTTATGTTATCAATGTTATTGGTACTTGCTGATTCTTATAAGGTTCATGGTGAAGAGTTAGTCCTAATAACGTGTACAGATGATACCGACCTTACGTTACTCTGAAAGGTTTAGAACGTGATTCCATGTGTCGAGCATTCATTATATATATGTATCTATTTTACACTACCGAGCCGCGCTATAGTCGGCCAGTACGGCACCTATTGTGCAACCACTGATCAGTTGGGTTTATCGAGCTCCACGTGGCCGGGTACGATTCTACCAAGCCTTAAGATGGCCGGGTACGTTTTTACCGAGCCTATTACAGCCGGGTACGATATGATGATGATGATGCCCACAGAGGCGTATGTTTTAAAAGTTTATGTATATATACATATGTATCACGTATTTCATGTCAGTAGCCCTCAGAGGTACCCAGATGTTACAGATTGTTTATTCTCTATCCCTGCTTACATTACTGTTCGTACTTATGGTTCCCTGCCTTACATACTCAGTACTTTATTCGTACTGACGTCCTTTTATTTGTGGACGCTGCATGTCGTGCTGCAGGTCCTGATAGACAGGCAGGCGCAGCTCCCCCACCATAGTAGGCTGTCCAGTTCAGCGGTGATTGGTGAGATCCCTTCTTCGGACTTGCCGTGGTCTTGGTATGCATTTTTGTTATAGACATTATGGGTATGTCGGGGCCCTGTTCCGGCAATGTTGCAGCACTTATGTTCCTTTAGAGGCTCATAGACAGGTGTCGACTCATGTATAGTTTGGTATGCCTTGTCGGCTGGTTTTCGTTGTATAGTCTTTCATGGTAGCATGGTAGCTCGTACCTTATATATAGTTTCTTGATTGTCTGGTCATCCCATGTTATGTATGTTCATTCCATCATCTTTTATTGTTGGTTGTCCAAAATCCATGTCTACTATTTATATTGATCTTGTCGGCCCTAAAAGATAATAAAGAAGGTTAGATAAAATGTACGTTGGTGCTCGTCAAGTATGGCCGGGGTCTAGTCATAGCCCTCCAGTTTGGGTCGTGACAGAAGGTCTAGATAGGAAAACTTTGTAATGGGCCAAACGGTCAGATGAACCGTGTCCATATAGAATAGTCGAGCCCTGACGGCAAAGCATGTACACATTATTTGAAGAAGCATTCTGTTAGTATCAAAAACGCTTTGTGTCTCAATGAAGTCTACTGTTATACGAGCGCTACACTTATAATCCTACAGGAAATGGCTCAAGAGCCAAAGCATAAAACCACCCCTGAAAACTCGGGGACTGTCATCGACAGTCGGTACATCCGAGTCATTGAAAACTCGGATTCATAAGACCTCAAAGAGGCACCCCCTCAAAACAAAGGCCAAGGCCAATACACTCGGGGACTAACTTTTCGAACAAGTTCGAAAAGTTATCGGGAAACAAGTCCAAGTGACATACCCGAAGGCTACGACCGTATTAAAGACTACGGTCATATGAAGGCTACGGCCAAAGTAATGCGGCTCGGAGACGTCCGACTTCCGCCATAAATTAAAGGCCTTCAAACACTTTGTAAAAACCGGTTAAATCAGGCTACCCTCGGCAAAAGCAAAATATAGTGGGCTTCGATATATTCAGCCCCCAAATAAATGGGCTTCGATAAATTCAGCCCTCGAATAACTTAAAGGCTTTGATAATATTAGCCCTAGATAAAACCTCAAGAGGTATTCGATTATCAGTACACAAACAAGGTCTCGATACATCGAACCTTCGAAAAACCCAACGGGTACAAAAAACACATGCTAAGGCATAATTAAATTTTCACTAAGTCTTTTAGCAGAAATGAGGGAAAAATTATATAGCCATCCTAGAGGCTCAATCGGCCCAACTTAAAGAGCCTATGGGCCGATATATAAGAGCCCAAGGGCCAACTTCGAAAGGCTTAAGGGCCAAAAACTTATAGTTTGAGACTCCGTTCTCACTCGACTCGGACTCAAGAGTCACGATATCCCGAGCTCACATTGGATCGATTTTAACTTAGCCCGAGGATTATTATATCTTTCGATAAAACCTAAGGGTTTATTATGTTCTGAATCCGAATCAATACTCGGACTGATTGTTTGAATTATCAAAATCTTCCACAAATGAAAACAAAATTCAACACAAGTTGAGGATAGAGCCAAAAGATACTTTATATTCATAAGGGATGTTTACAAAACATATTTACAACGCCCGCATGTGGCCCTTGCACAAAAAAGAAAAAGAGAACCTAATCTATTTTCGAAGTCATATCCCCGGGAGCGCCATCCTCAGGAACTGCACCTTCGGCAGCTCTATCTTCAGGAGTCTCTTCTCCCTCGGGAACATCTTCTTCACCTTCCACGTCCCCGGAGCCACTCGCTACATCCTATTCATCGGAAGAGGCAACAAACCTGGCATCGGTTTCCCGCGCCTTTGCCTCGGCTATCTCCTCGGCAAGGTTGGACCCTCGGGCATGGATTTCCTCGAGAGTCTCCCTACGGGCTTGGCACTTGGCCAACTCATTGCTCTGTTTTTCCCGGTCGGAGGCCTCCCTCAACTCAGCTTGAACGGCCGCGACGTCCCTTACGTACATAGTAATGGATTTATCGGCCGCAGCCTTTGTCTTCTCAGCTTTAGCCTTAGCCTGCACGGCTTCGGCTTGGGCCCTAGTGAGCTCTGCCTCTAACTCCTCAATCTTCTTGGCCTGGCCAGACCCTTTGTTTTAATGACTTGAAGCTAAGTTTCAGCCGAGGCTAGTTGGGCTGTAACAGCTTCCTTATCGGCAGCGAGCTGATCCATGTTCTTCTTCCACCTATGACAATCAGCTTTAACTTGATCAACCTCGCTCCGGAGCTGCCCAATCATCACCAACTTTTGCTGCAGCTGAGATATCAAAGTGTTAGCCTCCGAAATAGGGCCAAGAAGGTTGTACCCTAATAATATCACGGTTATCTGCTCATCTAGCTCGGCCTCGTTTTTTTGGGCTTTGGCCAACTCAGCACGAAGATCCCTAAGCTCCTCCTCCTTTTGGCTACAGAAGAGCCTCGGGGCCTTCTCTTCGCCCGAAAATTTCTTGAGCTCGGCCTTACATTGGCTCAGCTCAGCTCAGCTCTAAACTTTGCAATGGCCTATACATGAAACGAAATATATCAGTCGAAGGAAAAGAAAGAAAGAGAAGAATACGAAAATGAAAGTAAGTGTTTACTCGAGAGAGGAGATGCTGGGCCTCTTCGAAGAGGGTGGATGCATCGTTAAAGTCGACGGTGTCATCGACCCCTGCAAAGCAACCCTGAAAGGGATCTTCTTCGAGGACCTTGTTCGGATCGGGCATACACAGGGCATTAGCTTCTTTTATTGCCCCCTCGAAATAAGTTGTCAAAGAAAGGAGTGACCTTTTGTCATGGCCCCGAGCTTGCCACTCGAGGCGTTCTCGTTAGCTTCAGAGGTCTCCGCATTTGCCCCCTCCGGAATATTTGTTGAAAGCGGAGGAACGATCTCAACCTCCGGGGACACGGGGGCCTTGCCCGCATCTTTCTTTGGAGTTCCCTCACCACAAGATGAGGTATCTGGTTCAGAAGGATTGGCGGCCTTGATGGGTTTCGTGGCTCGAGACACCAACGCCAACTCTTCACCGTCATTTTCTTTATCGTCCGGGGAACAGTGGGCCAAATCTGCGCCCGTTTGAGCGGACCTCTTCCGGAGCCTTCGAGCAGGGGTTTTTTTATCTTCGGGGTCTTCAGGCTTCGAAACCCTTTTTCTTTTGTTGTCTTTCTCAGACTTCGGGACTGAGGGCTTGGTCCCTTCCCCGGGTGGGTCCGGCCTCATCTCAGATGCATCTCCGAGGCCTGCATAAGTAAACGTGAATAAGTTGATGCCACCAATATATGAGAAGTATTTGGAACTCGGGAAAAGCACTTACCGTGATTCTTGGCCTCCCACTGGCCCTTCAATAATTCACACCACTTGCGCTCATCGTAGGAGGAGGTGGCAGCTAACTTTCGGACCCAATCTTCGAGGTATGGCACCGCGTAGGGCGCCCAGGCAATGGCTGCCAAAAGAAAGGTAAAGGCATTATGAAATGTGAAATCAAAGTATGAATAGATTCTGGGAGAAAGAACTTCACTTACGATTAAAGTTCCACCTCTCCGCGAATGGCATTTTATCCCTGGGGATGATATACAAAGTTCTTACTCTAACGAACTGGCTCATCCAACCTCGATCTTTGGTTTCGTCAGTACTGGCAAAGAGGGCTTTCGTTGTTCGACGTTATAGCTTGATAAGCCCTCGAAATAGCTGGGGCCGATACAACCGAATCAGGTGGCTGAGGGTAAATTCCAACCCCTCGGTCTTTTCAGAAAAGTAGCACAGCATGATCACAATACGCCAAAAAGAAGGGTGAATCTGGTTGAGGGAGACTTTGTATGTTTTGCAGAAGTCAATCACCACCGGATCGAGGGGACCCAGGGTGAAGAGGTAAGTGTAAACACTCAAAAACCCCTCCACGTAGGAAGTAATGTTTTCCCCGGGGCTTGGGATCTGAACCACGACCTCATCTCCCCAGCCGCAGTCCTTCCTCACATCTTCAAGATGCTTCTCCGATATCAAACTAAGATATCGAGATGCATATTCGCATCGGCCTGGGACATCGGAGGGATTTTCAATGCTAAAGTCCTTCTTAATCACGCAAGAGCCGGGGGTGATCTCCTCAAAAGTTGGCGGCACCACCGGTTTGGCTGGTCGGGAGGTAGAAGAAGACGACGCTTTATCCTTTTTGGGGACCGTTTTGAACGTTCTAGCCATGACTTTAAGCTAAAGAATACAGGTTGTATCAGAATGTGGTGTTTTTTACAAGAACTTGATGTTTTCTGGCGCTTAAAGAGGCGGTGGAAACAGATGATTAAGAGAAAGATATGAGGAAGAGAAAGATGTAAAGGAAGAGCAAAGTTCTTTACTCAAAGGAATAGCCTCATATTTATAGGAGGGCAACGACGGTTCGGCGACGCTAGTGGCCGACCAATTCTGACGTGCATTCAATATTTTGGGGAAGTGGACCGACGGGATATTTCAGTCACTTCGAACGCCTGTGTCACGCGAAGGACGTCATCATTAAAGACTTCGGGAAAACAAGGATCAAATCGTTTCTTATCATCTTACTCTAAGAAAAGCGGGGACTATCTGTATACGGTCAAAATCGTATGCCTCCGATTTATAGGCCCGAGTTCGAGCGCGGTTGAGTTTGGGAACGGTTGACCGAACTTGAGCTGGAAGGCAGAGTGCTATGCCCGGAGAAGGGAATGCGAGGAATACCGGGGCAAGTGTGCTCTATCCCGAAATAGTACCGTTATGGGTTTGTAACAGAATGAGCTAGATTCTAGCCACGTCCCCAAGATCACGGCGCAAATCTCGGAATAAGGTTGTACGATTCCGTACTAGGCAATTAGACAGTTGTGACAAGAATATTCCCTACTGTAAATGGAAATATTCCTTATTTAGGGTTCCCCTATTATAAATAGGGGATCCCAATCATTTCTAAGACCGTCTGGTCATTGAGAAAAGAATATACTCTCTACCTCTTTCGCCTGCTTTTGATCAGCATTGTACTTTAGCTCTATTGTTCTTACTTTGCTTTTATTATTTAAGTGTTCTTATAATACCAAGCCTACCTCGAGGTCCCTAGGCTCGAGGTCACTGCTGTTGAGTAACATTGGTTTGAATGACTTCTCTCTTTCGTTTCTACTTCATACTTCTTAATTATTAATCGGTATTGAATTAAATCACGTATCTTAAAACCACAAATCAAATTTAATTGTTACTCGTATTTTCGAGGTAAACAATAGTATCTGGCATAATTGTGGAGGTGGCATACACACTAGCTTCAATATTTATTTGAAAAAAGCCCCACCTAAATTGGTTTTGTACAATTTTTTTAACACACTCTTGATTGACCTGAAACCCATAGGTCTATTCCAAATGACCTAGTGTGTAACAGAGCAGCCCACTAGTGATATTTTTCGCACTGGGCCTAAGGCTGTACGACTTTAAAATGCGTCACTAGAGTCTAAGGCTTGTCTACTTATATACCCAGCATCTCTCTCGTGTTTTGCCGATGTGGGATTCGCCTAGGGTGTCACATACACTCCCCCCCCCCCCTTTAGGGACTCAGCGTCCTTGCTGAGGTTTGCCCCACCACCATTCAAGTTTGTACGAGGAGTGGTTCTGATACCATATGTAACAGCCCAGACCACTAGTGAAATAATCCGCTTTCGGCCTTGGCCCGCGCGGCTTTAAAATGCGTCACTGGAGTCTAAGGTTTGCCTACTTATATACCCAGATGCATGCAGATGGCGTGGGCTGTAGCATACGAAAATCAGGGAATCGAGAGGAATTCTAGTTTCACGACCGTAAAATGCCAAAAAACGGGAATGGCCATGGCGAAGCGACGACTATTGTTCCTTAGGTCATTTTTGATGGGGCGGCAAACTTTTACGTGATTGGGGTCCGGTCGCCCAGTGTCACGACCCAAACCTATGGGCCGCAATGAGCACCCGGTACCTTACTCAACCGAGTACCAACGTAGCGTATCTTTTCGTATCATACTCTTATAGGTAAATGAGATGGAAAGGTTGCCGTGAAATAAGTAGAACAAAACATGAGGAAATACTCAACTTGATATACCGACTTATACATATGACGTTCGGGCCTATAAGGCCAACATAATCACTTGTACACTGAACATAGGCCGACAAGGTCATACAAGTATCCATATACAAGACATCTGTCTACAAGCCTCTAAGAGTACACAATATCATAAAGGTCGGGACAAAGCCCCAACATACCAATCAATGCATGTACTATCATACTGACCAAATAAGCAACTTCGGAGCAAATAGAGCGCACCAACACCTTCCGCCGAGCTGACATCCTACTTGGAGGACTCTCAACTTGTCTATCGGGACCTGCGGGCATGACATGCAGCATCCTCGGGCAAAAGGGACGTCAGTACAAATAATGTACCGAGTATGTAAGGAATGAAAATCAGTAAATAATAGACATGAGAGAAACATGGAGTAAAAGACTCGACATGTAAGTCTGATTAGTTCTGTGAATTCTTTAATATTTAAAATGTCATGCATATGTGTATAAATGCCATACCATGCATGGGTATATGCGTTCATAATATCATCAAGCCTCTAAGGGCATCCCATCATATCATCTCGGCCACTGTGGGCAAATCATCAACGTATACCGGCTGATCAGGTGGTGGTGCGTATATAACCCCATAACCTTTTCCCATATCCAATATACATATATATACATATATACGCGTATATAACGCCATCTGGTCGCGGGTCAATGTAAATGAATGCAATGCATGAAAAGTACGTCAATAAAATATTTTGGAGTGTCATAAGACCATTATGCCTTTGATTAGTATCATGAAATAACTTTATCAACTTACGTATTTTCTGAGACCCATGAACAGATGATAGAATAATATGACACATGGGGAATCAAGAACATAAGCATCTCTAGTATTTCTATGAATACAGTCATTTATGAAAATTGTGCATTTACTCATTTCGTTTGTGTCGTATAGATCATGCCAAAAGAAAGAAGGATAGCCTTAACATACCTGAGTCGATTCTCTTGAAAATCCCTCTAACACACGTTAATCGCGACGAAACACGTAACGACGGATCGAATTAGGGGGAAATCCGTATGATATTCTTGAGAAAGATTGTATCGGGCTTCCTTAAAATCGCAAAATAATACGTGATTGAAGCCCCGGCCATTGCCAAATCACGTATGCAATCTTTATGAAGTATGATGCTTATATCTTCTAATCTTAAGGGGTAAGTAAATATTAGCTTTCATGTACTAAAGTGCATATATTATGCAAATCACGTTCAAGGCTTAAAGAGATTCTGACTCATGTTAAATGTACTAACAATGTGACACCTTTCCACATAGTATATGAGTCATTTATGGGAATTGTTATTCATTTCATGGGCTGCCACGTGGGTTCATCAAATTTTATCCACATTTTTGAATTAATTACCCACTAACCACTTGATTAATTTTGTTAATCTTCCATTAACCAATAATTAACCAATAATTAATCAACACATAATTAAGAATTTTCTCAAATTACTTAAAATACTACTCTCTTTTAACATACCTTATACACCTTACTATCATGGTCATGTGGTACCTCGTATGGCACTAGTCCATAAATACGGGGTATTATAGCTTGGACCGAATTTTTTATCCCCAAATTATCAAACTTTGACGGAACTCATTTTCTTCGATTCGCTTACCTTCTCACCTTCACGAATTTACTTATCACTTGTTTGAAATAGCATAATGTTTATAATCTCAAAATAATCTCATTCCCGAACTTACGTCGATTAACTTACGATGAAAACTTTAACATACCAAAATGCGGGATGTAACACCCAGATACATGTAGATGGCGTGGGCTATAGCACACGAAAATTGAGAATCGAGCGGAATCCAAGTTTTACGGCACTAAAAGGCCAAAAAATAAGGAACAATCATGGAAACCGATGGCTATTTTTTTCTTAGGTCATTTTTTATCGGCCAGAAAATTTTTAGGCGATTCAAGTCCAGTCGGCCGGATGCATGCAGATGGCGTGGGCTATATATCACACGAAAATCTGGGGATCGGGCGGAATTCCAATTTTATGGTCCTAAAACGCCAAAAAACAAGGATCAGCCATGGAGAAGCAATGACTATTATTCCTTAGGTCATTTTTTATGGGCCGAAAAATATTTAGGCGATTCGGCTGGTGGCCCAGACGCATGCAGATGGCATGGACATAGCACACGAAAATTTGATAATCGGTAATTCCAGATTTATGATCCTAAAATACCAAAAAAACGAGGAATGGTCATGGCGAGACAATGACTATTGTTCCTTAGGCCATTTTTGATAGACCGAAATATTTTTAGACGATTCGGATCCAGTCGCCCCTACCCATGCATATAGCTTGAATTATAGTACACGAAAATTTGGGAATTCGATGAAATTCCAGTTTTATGACTCTAAAACGCCAAAAAACGAGGAACGGTCATGGCGAAGAGATGACTATTGTTCCTTTGGTCGTTTTTTATGACCGAAAAAATTTTAGGCGACC